AATATTTTGTTCTTTATATTTTTTAGCACAACAATCAACATATTCTTTAAAATTATAAACACATTTGCAATTTTGTAATTTAATCATTTTGTTTTTTATTTGTAAAAAAGAGAAAAATATTTGTATTTATATTTATTATAAAATTAATAAAAAATAAAATAAAAAAATTCTATTAAAAAAATTAATCTTCATCTTCATTGTCACCCTTAATAACAGGTTTTGGTATTTTATCTATGTTATCCATAATTTGAGTTACAACCATTTGAGAAAATGTGTGAATATTTTTAACATCTGTCATATCTGGATGATATGCTACTTCAATACTTCCACCCGAAATCATAACTGGAATACCAGTATTATATCTTTCAAATGTATCCCTCAAATCAATTTTATCATCATCTTCAATATCTTCAGCTTTGATACGACTTTGATACATCCAATCCATATAATCTATTACCATTATTAATCTATAATTTCCAGTATTATATATTGTACTTTCATTATCATTATTTGATATTTCACAAGTTTTCTGTTCTTCTTTTAAAAAAGGTCTACACATTATTATTACATGATCATTGAAAATACAATCTGTTAAACATGAAATCTCCACACTGTAATTCATCAATATATCAAACTCATCTTTCAATTGATGTTTTTTTATATCACTAGGATCTTTTAAGACATCTCCTATCTTTAATTTTTTTTTTTTTGCAGTTTTAAGATCACATATTCTGACAAGATAAAGATCAATTTTGAAAGGTAATAATAATTTTGTTAAAATTAAATCATCTGCTACCCGATGTGTAGCATTTGTAGTAGATAGATGATAAGAAACTAGTTTAAGGTATAACGAAAAATCTAATAAATTCAAAGATTTAAAAGATTTAGGTTCTTGTAATAAAGGAAAAACCAAAAATCTTGATTTAATAGGAATTAATCCTGGTGCATCAAAATCAATTTTATCAACTAATGAACCAGGTGGTCTTTTTTGACTACAAACATTGTAAGCTGTACTATCACCACATGTTCCTAAAGAACATATTTTTCTTTTTTTTGTTGTTGCCATTATATTATCTGATATTTACGTTTACAGATATAATTTGGTTTAGAACCAACTTTAGAGACTGTCTTTTAGATCTTTTTTTTGATTGAACCTTTTCTTTTTGATTTGCTTTTTTAACTTTTGTTTTGAGTACTTTTGAAGGTTTTAAATTTTTTCTCCTTTTCACCAGTTTGATCAAAATGTTTTGATTGTTTTTATTATTTTCTTTAAAATCTGATGAACCAATGTAATGATAGAATCGAAAAATAAATTATAATTTGGTTGATATATATGGTGTATAATTGATATTTCAATT